TCTATCTCATTCGCATCACGTTAGTTGTTATTGTTGTTGTGAGGTGCCCCCCGGGGGGTTCCAGCCCATAGTGACCCTATGCGCAACTGAAGGAAACATGCCTTGTCCGATAGATACCACCCTCACAACTAGCATCACAGAGGTTAGGGTTTCTAACACATCTGGTTATTGCATTAGTTCACAAATTGGAGGGTCATTATATCATACAGAGTGTATACGCTAGTGGCCTAGCTTGGGAGCCCTGGTGGTATCGTGATTATGCATAGGGCTGTGATCACATGGTCGCCAGGGCACCAGCAGCCTTCCCCGGGGGAGGAAGACTGGGCTTCCTACTCCCTGAAACAGCAACGGCCTCAGAAACCCACTGGGGGTCAGCATGGACTGGATGGCGGTGAGTTTAGAGGGGCCTAGCTAATTCACGTTTTAGGGGGACACAATGCAGTCTATGACAGACCTCATGCATGCTAACGTCAATACGGTGGCCCCCGACCATGGGCTCAAGCAGAGGCACAATTGTGAGGCTGGCACAGGACCACGCACGGTGTCGTTCTGTTGTGCATCGGGTCTCTATGGCTCAGAACTGACTTGAAGGCACCTAACCACAACGCAGAGGGCCAGTGAAGAAGAGGGAGTGCCCCCGGGAGACAGATGGATGCAGGAGCTGCAACAATGGGCTCAACCGTGGCCTTGACCGGAAGGAGTGGGCAGTGCTCCAGTTCGGTCTCAGAAAGTGACCAGGAGTCAGAATTGAGTTGAAGGTGCCTGAAGATACCCCCACCTCACAGAATGGGTGAGGGCTCGGACAAGCAGGGGTCAGCTTTCCTTTGGAGGGGTGGGGAGAGGATCCAGAGGGGGCGGGGTTGGCCCACTGTCTCCCTGCTGCTTCAGTAACTGGTAAATTCATAGTGCATTTGGTCCTCTTCCTCGGCCACCTGGATGTGGCCAAACAAGAATCGCCTCTGCCCGGTCTCAGGCTGACAGCGATGAAGCATTTGATAAGTGTCCTGGTTTATGACATCTCAAGCAGGTACTCTAAGTTGTTCTGTCATATAACTCATTAGGTTTAATGTTCATTTTAACCGCCTGCTTGCAAGTATTTTTGCTTTCCTTGTAGTTTGAAGAACCAGGGCTTCCTGGCTATTACTTTGATTACAGACTTAATGGTTCCAAATTCTGAGGAGCAATCTCTTGTAGCTTCACTGCTTCAGAAAATTCTCCCCACCCATCCCCACCCCCACCATAGAGAAAATTAATACCAATTCGGCCAATGCTCACTGAGCACTTACTTACAGATGCAAGACTGGGCCCTGAGGAGCTGGGTGTGGAGAAAAGGGAGACAGGGTTTCTGCCTCCCCACCCCCCACACCCCACCCCCTTGCCCCATGGAGCTTACAGTCAAGTTCAGTGGTTCCCAGTGTCATCTCTAGACCAGCATGGCCAACCTCACCTGGGGACTTGTTAAAAACGCAAACTCCCCAGCCTTGTCTCAGATGAAGTGGATTCAAAACTCTGGAGGGTACAATCCAGCAATCTGTGTCTGAGCAAATCCTCATCTAAGGCTAAAACAGTGGTTTTATCTAAACATGATGCTAACAAATAGAAATGGATCTGAAACTGCATTTTCATCCTTAAGGGAGACAGAGGTCTAGAGATGTTTCATGTCGCTCAACAACCATCGCACCAACCAAGGTCACATACATGCGATCGTAGGCGGACTGAAACCAGAACTCAACTCTCCTGCCCCACATGACCAAGCTCTTTCTACTTATTTTCTAATAAAAACCCCACTCTCCCTGCGATTCCAACTCATAGCAGCCCTGTAAGGGCAGGATAGAATTGCTCCTGTGAGTTTCTGAGCCTGTAGCTTTTTACAGAATAAAAAGCCTTGTAGTTAACGGCCGAATGCATAACCACTAAATCCCTGAATCTGATCGGGGTCCCAAGTTTCACTGATGCATAAGGCAGGCACCTTGACTTGAAAAGTACACAGAAAATTGGAGAACCTAGCCTCTCTGCAGCTCTATCAAACCCTCCAGGAAATTCGAGGTACTTCCCGAACCTTTAACATAGATCTAAGTTCTACCTACAGTTGGGGGGCAGGGGGGCGGGGAGGTGTACAGTAAGCCAGAAATACAACAAATGTGCTATCAGAATGCAGTCTAGAAGATTAGTTAGTATGCAAGAATATTAACAGTGGTTTGCCTTGGGCAGAAGAATTACAAAGCATCTTTCTTTTTCTCAATTTTTCCTCCCCAAGGGCTATATATACCTTTGTTTAACAACAAAAAAAGTAAAGCTTTCCTTTGAAATGCTATGTCCACATCATTCAATAGAAACATTTATTTTGTAATTCTATTTCTTCCCATACAGCAGGACAGTGTGTATATAATAATCATTTATATCATCCCGTATGTTACCATGAAGATGAAATCCAGTAAAATCTATTCATTCCAGCTGGCCGTGAAAAGGAAGGGTTCAGTGATTTCCTAGGTTCAAAGCATTATGAATTCAGACAAGCTTAACTGTTCAGCTAAAGGAAAAAAATAATCCCCGTATTGAGACCTTTAAGAGCATCCCTTTTTCCCCCACTGGCAATGAAATATGTGTATGTGACACATTGCTCCTGGCTCATTTCTCCTTGTTAACCCCTGGCACGAAACAGAGTGCTTAGCAGTTCCTGGCAAAATCTTAGGAGGTAAGGGGATAAAATTCACGGGAGAAGATCTCACAGGCTACAGAATGATCTGACTTTGACTTGGAATGTTGCCCCTGTGAACCATAAAGCATTCAAAATGACAGAAAAATGGCCTGGGCCTAAATGTTCTTTTTAAAAATTATTTTCAGAAATGTTTAGTCACAAGAAAGTCCATGCTGCACATATTATTCCGCCAATAGTCTATCTGAGGGTAGGTCAAAAAGTATTGCCATTCGGGTTCCAGTTCATACATGCTTAAGCAGGTAGACTCCAAACAAAACAAGTTCCAGCATGTCTCTTCAATCAGTGCATGCTGCAGGCAAGTTCTCTCGGTGATACAACAAGACAAAACAAAACCGAAAAGGTCCAGCAAAACAGGAGATTCTGAGAAGCTCTGCTGAATGGGCTAAACTCAGGGTGGAGAGACCATTTCAGAAGGCTATTGTGACTGTTGTTTTTTTTGGGGGGGGGGCGGGGGGCTCCAAAGGTATGACCTTGAGAGGTTTCCTTGAAGGCCCCAGGACAATCCTGGGGGTTGTTCTGAAGAAGTGTTAAGGAAAATGGTGAGAAAGAGGCCAGGAAAGTTCCACCAAGACATTGTTTTCTCCATCACAACAACGCACCTGCTCCTTCGTTGAAGGTAGTCAGGTAAGTCCTACATGATTTTCCTTGAAAGAAACTTTCCCCAACCACCCTATAGCCGTCCACGTGCCCCATCAGTCACCTTTTTGTTCCTAAAACTCAGAAAACTTTAAGGGAAAACTCCTTGAGGGTACCAACACTGACACTCCAACATGGTCCGAGTACAGAATTCTCAAAGAAGGATTAGAGGGAAGGGAACACGGCGTGTGGAAGCGTCTAGACCCAGATGGAGGATACACCGAGCAATAGTAGCTTCACAGCTTTTTTTGTTGAATAAAAGTGTTTATGATTTTTCAGCAATACAGCTTTATCTACTTGACAAAATAAAAAAGAGCTGTCCAATCCAAAGAGCTATTTCTGTTGCAAAACCATTGCTGTAATTTCTCACTGGATAGGGCAATTTGTTGCTTCAAAGGAAAGCCAACATTGTTTTACTGACGCTCTTCCCAGCAATATCAATTTGGCAAACGTCAATTGAAGTGTCTTAAAGGAGACAGGGCAGTAAAATAAATAGCGGATAGGATGGATATGGCAAAGGAACACCAGTGGTTACTGACTTTATCAAAACACCTTGCACGAGCAGACGTTTCTAGAAGTTTCAGATACTTTCAGGAAAGGACAAGATATTGAAAATAGAATACATATCACCACACACAGACATACATGACGTGTGCCAGTGTTTATACCGCATGAGATCGCAATACTTGCCCACCATTTGGCTTGACCATTGTGACAGAGAACTCAAGCGAAGGGATGTATCATCATAGGCTTTGTTGCCCAGAGAATAAGCTTGCTCCCACTCTCTCGGACTGCAAATTTCCCTCAGTCCCACGGCTTAAAAAATATGAACAAGAGAGGATAAAGGATATACAACGACCAGAATGTTGTCCCTCAGCCCCTATTTCACATTGATTACCTGGCTGCCTGTGAACACTGTTTTATAAACGCTTTACTATTAGCATACCTGGCCAATTCTATTTTCAGTTGAACACTTTTTAATGGCTCACACGCAGCAACTTGCAACTCAGTTTCTAGTTCCATTCTGACACTTCTATGCCCAATTCTGTGTCTCCCATCTCTCACCCCCCTCCCACCCCCCTCGGGAGAGAAAAGACCCCAGGGCTAGGTTTTACCTAACCCTGCCTCTTTGTGCAGTTTTACTTTGGGAGCTTGCTAAAAGGTATTGATTAGAAGCTACCTGCAGATTCAGCTGCTAGGCCTTGGTCAATGCTAAGGGAACAAGTCCACGGCAACAAGAAGACCCAAAATAGGCTCAATTATGCAACTTGCACATGCCACTTGTCTCAAAAAGAAAAAGAAAACAACTTTTCTGACTCTAACACATCGCAAAAAGCAATACCACAGTTTTCATGCGCTGCAAAATTTCATTTTCTGGGTCACGTTCCTTGTCTCCCTGGGCCACTTTCAGGGACACTAAGCACGGCCTCTGCGCCCCCCACCCCGGCTGGCGGCCATCCCTGAGAGAATGAATACCTACTATTCGCTCGGCCAGGCCCCGCAGACCCCCAACACAGACCTCTGCTGGGCAAGTCTCACACCAAGGCGACTGGCGTTCTTTTCCTCCAACCCACAAATGGGCGAGCTCATGGGGAGAGGAAAAGTTAATGAGGGTCTGCGTTTAAGTCAGAGCCGCCCTACCTACCTGCGGTCACAAAACCGGAAAACTGGACAGGCCTAAAAAGCCGTTTTCGCTGCACTGACCCCTCGGGCGTGGAGCGCTTGACACCCGGAAAGCCAAGACCGTGATTTCCATGCAGACCCGCGCCCATCCCACACAAGTCCGC